ATTGTACAGTGGCATTAAGTGCCGAAATGTGCACCTCTGCCTAACCCTTCGGGGATAAAAAGGCGTGATGTTATGTTATGCTATTTATTTTCTAATTAATTTATCGGTTTCAATAGTAGAATAATCGCGGTAGAATTGTCGCGGAAAACCTAACGGGTTACCGGGGCTCCGGCTCGACGTGCAGGAGAAGGAACGGGGTGGTTCTTAGTCAGTAAGAGTTTGACACTCCCTCCCGCCTCACCCAGGCGGGAGAAGTCATTCGATGAATATCCCACTTAAAGAAAAACACCGTAATATAAATATTTATAGCGAAACAGTATTTCTTAATTAACTCGTCGAGTACCGTCATTATAGACACAATTAAACTGTCAAACACCAAGCGGTCACCTGTGACAGCAATCTATTGTTCTATAATTGTGTCTACAAAACCGGTACTCGACGAGTTAAAGAACAATAAGTTGCGGTCACCTGTGACCGCTTGGTGTTTGATAGTTTAAACTATGGCGCAATTTCATTAGGTAGTTACACAATGATTACACAATGTCACGTAATATCAAAAAACCGTATGTAATTCTATCAGTCACGATGACTTGACTGAAACTATAAATAGATCGTTGTAGACCTGCTTACCGCGTAGGTGTTAATTCATCAAATACCTACTAGTTTTTATTATTTGTGGTTTTATCAGACACTAGCTACTTCCGCGCGGTTTCACACACTCTGCTCAGCTTCTATTGGTCGTAGCGTGATAGTTTATAGCCTATAGCCATCCTCGATAAATACACTATCCAACACAAAAAGATTTATTCAAATCAGACTTGTAGTTATAGAGATTAGCGCGTTCAAACAAACAAACAAAAAAAACAAACTCTTCCGCTTTATATAATAGTATAAGATAAGATTAAATTGAAAACAAAAAATGTTGACAGACCTCACGTATTTTTTATTTTCTTTAACAAATACACTCGACAATATATAGTACACAAAGTTCGGCAGCTATCTCTCTCAGAGTTGAATGGGGATTTTCAGTCACTATTTCCTTCACTTTTGCGATGTTAACTTCAGTTGCAGACGTTGACGGCCTACCAGAGCGAGGCAAATCTTCCATCACATCTCGACCGCTTTTGAACGCTTTGAACCACTCATAAGCACGAGTTTTTGATAAAATCGATTCACCGTAAGCTTTCTGTAACATTTTCAGTGACTCCGAACACGAAATTCCATTGGCGATGCAAAATTTAAGACGAACTCTTTGTTCGATATTTGTCCATTATGAAATTCGCAATACACACTATATAAGTATGTTATTACTAAAACCAGCACTGTCTATACTAATATTATAAAGAGGAAAGATTTGTACTTATTTTTGTATGTTTGTAATGAATAGGCTCAAAAAGTACTGGGCCGATTTAAAAAATTCTTTCACCAATAGAATGCTACATTCTTCCAATTTGACATAGGCTACATTTCATTTTGAAAAAATAGGGATCCTTGGTAAAATTTAAACAATGTAACCGAAGGTGTAGAAAAATGAGTCTTAAAATGTCTTCCGTCGAATGCGCTGCCGAAACTATTAGCGATAGAACAAAATAATGTACAACAATAATTATTGAAGAACATCATAATGTCTACAAAAAACTCCGCGGTAGCATATGTCCAACTATTGTAGTTATGTCACTAGAACAATCCAAATTTCCAAAAATAAATAATTGTCTACCTTGTGCGAAGCCGGGACGGGTTGCTAGTATTTAATATAACAGATGCAACTGAAACTCCGCGCCAAAATGAAAAACAGTTGTGTCAATCTAAAAACTACAAAAAAACAAAAATTTGAATTTGGAACCATAAACAAATCATCCATTCCCGATACTTTGTTGACTGAATGTATTGATTTGAAATATCGCATGACGTCACTTGTAGGTTCGTTTTATACGTAGAAATGACGTAGCTAGCTCCCACTCCTAAACTTTGATTCGTTTTATCTAAGTATTGTTTTCTTATACGACAAAATAAAAAAATAAAATATATTTAAAAATCTATATTTTCATTTTACTATAACTGACGGACTAATTAGAATTTTAATTTTAATACCCCGTCATCAAGCCTATTCTTAATATTTTGTATTGTACAACACAGAAAACGTATACCTACATATAATATTGAATTATGCAAAAGACAAAATAAAAAATGCTACAAGCAAATTTATACCAATTTTAAAGCATACGAAGAATCAATTTCCCAATAATATTTGCTTTTTCTAATCAAATAGTATGAACATCAGACATTTTAAAATTACCCCCTATTACGCTGACCTTTCTGATTATCAATCCCCCCCTTTTTAGGGGGAGGTTTGACATTGATACAAAATTATAGGGGGTGTATTAGTGATAGATGTAAAAAAAAATAGCTTTCAAACTAATATGCACAGTATTTCTATCAAGTTAAAGTTGATTTTCGAATGAGCAGGCAGTTTTTATTGGAAAAATTGTCCACTATAGAATGCAAGGTAAATTACACTTTAATGATAGGAAAATAAAGTTTGTTTTCTGTTGTCAATTTGAAGTTACCCTTGACATGATGAGGTTCACCTTGGGCGACCTAATCGATTTCCATTATAAATGGGTGAATTACCTACAAACCAAACATACTTAAAATCTATAATCCATACTAGGTTCTGCCAGCGGCTTCGCCCGCGTTCCCGTTGAATAAAAAGTAGCCTATGTGTTACTCCAGACCACAATCTATCTCTGTTCCAAATTTCATACCGGTCCCTTCAGCCGTTTTGACGTGATTGAGGAACAAACATACAGACAAACAGACAAACAGACAAACTCACATATCAGAACTGAGGCCTTATAGTCAGAATTTTAATTAGATTCCAGATTTGACAATAGCTACTGTCATTTTGTGAAATAATGACACCACATATAATAGTGTAGTGATGCACACAAAAATCGATAAACAATCAGTGAGTGTGTTTTATAATAAATGTTACAGAAAGTGACAGGATAGCGAAAGCGATGACGGCAACAATTTAAAAAATAACTTATTACCATAATACATCTATCTGTTTTATTTGTCATGTTCCTTCATGATTACATTTTTTCATTTATTTCACACAGTTATAAAAGAAAAGTCTCAGATCGTTAATTAATCGTCAAAACTAAATTATCGGTTCGGAAATATTTAATTTCCTGATATCCTTAGTTTACGAGAGTAAAACTATAAACGAGAAGAATCGATCCAGAAATATTCCATTTCCATATCGAATAATTTCGCAACGTCACTATTTAGTACCTGTCATAACGTTGCAACACTGAAATTGTCAAATCTGGAATCGAATTAAAATTCCGAGTATAGTACAATCTTGTTTTACGTTCAAACTTTCAAAGTAATTGAAACGAGTCTGTGTTCGGCGCTCTGATTGGCCGGCGCCAATGAACCAACCAATCAGAGCGCCGAACGCGAAACAAACTCGTACTAAGCCCTCTGCTGGGACCGAGATGAAATTTGAAACAGAGATAGACTATGTGCTGAAGCAATATAATAGGCTACTTTTAACTCCCTGGGAACGTGGGCGAAACCGCTGACAGAAGCTAGTTAATATTATTAGTAAGATGTAATGTTATGGTGCCGGCGGAGTAAAATACAACCGTCACCACCGCTACTCTTCCCGTGGGTATCGTATACCCGACTAAAGGAATTTTAACAGTGACCGGATCACCTTGTGTCCATACACCCGAAACACTTGAGGAATTACAAGTCCGTTGCCGGGTCGATGCGTTTAGGTGGTTTTGCCATATTGTTATTGGAAGCAAGTATAACAACTCAAAGATATTGCGCCCGGCCTCCTCCTTAGCTAGCACGACTGCTTCGCAAAAGGAGGAGATGGCATCTCAGTCCTCCTTACTCAGCATCATGACCCGGAATAGGGCCGGACGCTAGAAGTCGACATCGCCGATCACTTCTCTGAGGGCACGCAGGGCATTCCACTACTGTGTGTTTCGCCGTGTCCTTAGGGCGGCCCTCACAGTAATGATACCCGGGCGTTTCTTCCCGCCCTATCAGACAAAGATACCTCACGAAGCTCCCATGTCGACGGGGACGCCGTAGCGTCTCTCAAGCCACTCCTCAAAGAGAGGACTTACCGCTGCAATCGCAGCGAGCCCAAACAACTCAAAGATAGGGCCCACTTTTAAATCAAATTTCCGTGGTACTTACGGACTTGGCGACTGTCGTATCTACTGAAGATCCTGGCTTACAGAAGTTGCAGCGGTTTTGGGAGGATGTGTGGTTTGTGCCATAAAAAAGAGCGTTGCCGGTCTTTAGTGATTGGGACTTTAGAAGGCGCCTCCGGTGACCTTCCTCACACGGCGTGACACAATTAAAACGCTGTGGTAGTGTCACACCGGTGTACTGGAAGACATGGTATCACTCCAATCGAGCCGACACTGCAGCGCCGAGGCATGGCGAGCCCACGTGTAAAATTTTGTCAACAGGAAGTAAATAAGGACATCATCAACAGCCTATAAATGCCCACTGCTGAGCAAAGCCTCTTCTCACACCAAGAAGGTTTGAGCATTAATCACCACGCTTGCTCAATGCGGGTTGGTGATTACAAACTTATAATTAGAAATTATAAGCCCAGGTATCCTCACGATGTTTTCCTTCACTGTTTCTCAGTGGTGTCTAAATAATCTTAGAAAGTACATATAACTCGGAAAAAGTCACATTGGTACTTGCTGTTGGTAGGTTTCGAGTCCGCATCCTCATGCATGAGAAGCCAGCGTCGTAAACCTCCGGGCCACCACGACATTGTACGGTGTATTGTAAGGCCATGGTATCACTCCAGTCGAGGCGGCACAGCGGTGCCGAGGCATGGCGAGCCCACGTGTAAAATTTTGTCAACAGGAAGTAAAAATAGACGCAGATATGAATCTTTAACTATAGTCATATCTCTTTACCTATGATAAATAGATACCTATGATAAACAATCCTTACTAATATTATAAATCGGAAAGTGAGTTTGTTTGTTTCACATTCACGCCGTAACTACTGAACCGATTGCTTTGATTTTTTGCAGACGTAAAGTTAGAAGTCCGGATTAAATAATAGGGTACTTTTTATCCCGGAAAAAATTGATATTCCCGAGGGAAAACAAAAGTATTGGTATAGATGGCGCTGTGTGTATTGGTATATGTCACATAGGCTACTTTTTATCCTTTTGTGACGCGAGCGTAGCCGCGGGTAAAAGCTAGTTCTAAGTAGATAATTTTTACGTAATCGATTGTTGATAAGTATTATTTGTTCGGGCAAAGTATTAGCGGTTTTTTTAAAAAAGTCTGGAATTGTGCCCGGTATATGGTAAAAGGTTCACTCCCTATTACATGGGACTCATAACATGAATAGTGGAAAGTGGGTGTTACATTGTACAGTGGTATTAAGTGCCGTAACGTGCACCTCTGATTACCCCTTCGTGGATAATAGCCGTGATGTTATGTTATTATTTATCCGCTTCTGTCCGCTACTTCATACGCGCAAAGTCAAAGTCAAAGCATTTATTTCAATTAATCTTTAACAAATGATATCTTGCACAGTTAACTTCTCAAAGAAAAACTAGATGGCACTATTTAGATGATTATAAAATTTACCTTATTACAACAAGATCAAAGAAACAGTTTAGTTAATAACAATTTTATTACCAAGTTTTGTAGTTAGCCAACTGAATAAATAAAACACTATATCCACATGTGTTTGGATCAACTATATCCACCGACTGATCCGCTTCCTCGATTAATGGACTATCCGCGCAAAAAGACATTCAATTCAGTAGCTGTTCCGGAGTTCATCATAACATAACATCACGCCCTTTATCCCCGAAGGGGTAGGCATAATGCGAATGCATGCGAAAGTACAGTTCTTGTGGCCCGCCCTCATGCGTGAGTGGCACACCCCGGGGTTTTTAGTGGGTTCGAGCCCCATATAACCCGGCCTCGCCGGCAAAAAAACACTCACTTTTCACTATTTATATAGCCATATACCGGGCACAATTCCAGACTCCATATTACTACTGAAAATTTCTAAAAACTCAGTAATACCAGAGCTCATATCATAATGATAAAGCTTAATGCCCACAAAATCGTAAATTAGGTATCTATTAAGGTTTTAATAAATAATTTTGTATGGAACTTATGGCGCCGACTTCTACCCTATCAGTGGGTGGGTAACCTATTAGTACTAATAACAATATATTTTTTCCTTTTTTAGTTTTTGTTTGTTATTAGTTTTTAGTTTTTTGAAGTCGGTTTTTTTAAACGCAGTTTTTATTTCTTTTTATTACACCAAAACGGCTGAAGCAGTTGCGGAGAACATAACGGGTTACGGGGGCTCCTGCTCGAAGTGCAGGAGAAGGAACGGGGTGGTTTTTAGTCAGTAAGAGTCTGACACTCCCTCCCGCCTCATCCAGGCAGGAGCAGTCATTCGATGATTTTTCCCCCTTAAAAAACAACGGCTGAAGCGATCGGGATGAAATTTGGAACAGAGATACATTATGGTTTGGAATAACACATAGGCTACTTTTTATCACACAGGAATGTGGGCGAAGTCGGTGGCAGCAGTTTGTATATAGATTTCATTTTGTTTTGGTCTTGATTTCATTTATAGTCTCGAAAACAATTATTTCACAGTAGTAGGTAGTCCGGATTTATGGTCGATATAAAACAATAGACAAATATTAAGAAATGAAACTTTTAACATAATTGGAGAAAGGTCAGTACCGATTCATTATCAAAAGCCTACAAGTGTCCACTGCTGAGCAAAGCCTCTTCTCACACGAAGAAGGTTTGAGCATTAACCACCACGCTTGCTCAATGCGGGTTGGCGATTCCAAACTTATAATTAGAAATTATAAGCCCAGGTTTCCTCACGATGTTTTCCTTCACCGTTTGTCAGTGGTGTCTAGATAATCTTAGAGAATACCTACATATAACTCGGAAAAAGTCACATTGATAGCGGATTACATTATAAACATTTTCGATAATATTACTCAAATATTAACTTACTTTCCAAGTCCCCAGTCCCAACACGGGACAAGTACGTCCGTTGTTCAAAATAATCGGTACATTCGCAGCCATTTTGAAACACGCGCGCACTTCACGAAGCACAGAGCGAAACTGAACCAATCTACACCGCGAATGGTTTTTATAAAACTAAACACATTAAGGTGTGGTTTCATTACTGCGACTATGCGACTTGAATAAAATTGTTTGCGATTAATTACCTACAGTCTTGTTGTTGTCGGTTGTTTGTTTGTTTGTATAGATAATTACACGTTTTTTTAATTAATTAAGTTGTTATCTTCGATGTGTTGTGTGGTTTCGTTGTGCCGGTTTAATTGTAGCGATTTTGTTCCAGACAGCAAGGGGTGAGTTATGTAGAAGATTTCCTAAATTGAACGTTTGTTGGATGGTTTTTTGACATGCCTCGTTGGTCAAATATTATACAAATTCGCAGTAGTAGCACGGAGTCTGGAATTGTGTCCGGTATATGGCAATAGCTCACCCCCTATTACATGGGACTCGTAACATAAATAGAGAAAAGTGGGTGTTACATTGTACAGTGGGATTAAGTGCCGTACTTTGCACCTCTGCCTACCCCATCAGGGATATGCTAGCTAAGGAGGAGGCGGGACGCGTGAGACAGCGAAGCGCTGCCTCTTCGCAACCCAGCCATCGCGAAGGACACACCGGGCGTCGGGGATCGCGGGACGATCTCCGGCCACCGTAAGCGCGGGCCTGCGGACGGCAAGCATGGGTGGCTCCCCGTCCGACCAGAAACAGACCCGAGCGTATGGCGCGTCGCGTTCCGCGCGCGCCTCAAAGAGCCATCAGACCACCACAGATGGGGCCCAATAGGGCCGATGCCGATTCGGAGTCGCGGAGAACCTAACGGGTAACCGGGGCTCCGGCTCGACGTGCAGGAGAAGGAACGGGGTGGTTTTTAGTCAGTAAGAGTCTGACACTCCCTCCCGCCTCGCCCAGGCGGGAGCAGTCATTCGATGATTATCCCCTCTTAAAAAAAAAAAAAAAACCCCTTCAGGGATAAAAGGCGTGATGTTATGTTGTGTGTGTAACAAACAGTTTTTGGCTTGTACAGTCGCCGACACAGTCAAAGTCGCCAATTATAGGTTAACTAAAACTCTATGTGTGTATGCTCTCTTGCTTGATCACACACTATTTTAGAATAAAAGATGTTAAATGTATCAGTACCTAATTGAATTCATTTAATGATGATTCTCATAACTTTTATAATTATTAATATGGAATATAAATAATTTTACATAAGGAACCATTATTTAATCGTTTTTAATTTTTCATGTTTCTTATGTTATGTTATGTTTTTTTCATGTTAAGTAATTTTGCAAGAAATAAAAGACTTTTTATTTTATTATATTATTTATTTGTAAATGTATCTAAACTATTGTACCTCTATTGTTCCAAAATTAAAGGTAAATGAGGTAATGAACTGATGAGTGTGAACTGAGTGACACCGGGCCTTTACTGCCGTTAATGAGAACGCCCGACTTGATGGCTCGACACCAACTAACTATTATTATAAAATGAAATGAATGTGAGGCGTAAAAGCTGACGATGCTATACGATGTGCGGTTGCACCGTACAATGTACTATGAGTAACTATAATAAAATGCTAACTTCAAACTAAAAGAAACACCCAAGGTTAATTATTTAATTAATTATTCTAAACTATAACATACTAGCTTCTAATAGCGGGTTCGCCCGCATTTCAGTGTGTACGGTTTAGTTAAGTTAAATAAGTTATTTGTATTATGATGACGTGCATATCGGTCGATTTTCCGTCGCGACATTCAATTATAGACCAGTGTGTACATCGCCTCGTTACCGAACGTACCACTGCACTGTCAGAATCACCTAATAATCTTACTTGTAACTTTTAAAAGTAAACCTTTCGGGACTTCTAGAAGTGTTTAAACTCACACTTCCAAACTCAACTATCTACGAGTACTTCACTCCATAACAATCACTACATAGTATAAAACAAAGTCGCCATCCGCCGTCTGTCTGTCCCTATGTACGCTTAGATCTTTAAAACTACGCAACGGATTTTGATGCGGTTTTTTAATAGATAGAGTGATTCTTAGTGAAGGTTTATAATGTATATTGCACCATTTCAAGGCCGGGGCGGGTCACTAGTTAACTATAAAGAGTAGTGTACAGTTTAACACTGTACACTGTAGGACAAAAATTAGCCTGTGTGTTAATCCAGACCATAACCTCATCAGACCACCACGGATGGGACCCAATAGGGCTGATATATGCCTATAGGGATCCGCGGAGGATTTAACGTGTAACCGGGGCTCCTGCTTGACGTGCAGGAGAAGGAACGGGGTAGTTTTTAGTCAGTAAGAGTCTGACACTCCCTCCCGCCTCACCCAGGCGGAAGCAGTTATTCGATGATTTTTCCCCCCTTAAGAAAAAGACGGTTGATTTGACTAAAAGGTCGAAAACAAAGTGTGTGACGGTATTAAACTGTCAAACACCAAGCGGTCACCGGTGACCGCAACCTATTGTTCTATAATTGTGTCTACAAAACCGGTACTCGACGAGTTAAAAGTCTGACGAGTGATATTTTTTCACAATTTCTAGTGTAGGTATTAAGATTACTTTAACCACAATATTTTTTGTGTCCAAAACATTAAACAATTAATAGTTTATAAAGTAATTTCAAGCTAATTAAACGTACCCGAAATTTCAAATATTAATTATTATAATTACAATTTTAACATTCAATCATTCGTTCATTTACATTCCTCCGTCGTTATACAACGTGAAATCTATTTCGTTTCCGTCCCGAAGTAAAATGGTTCTGTCTCGCTAATATAATAGTTTTACAAACAAATAAAAACAACTGGTAAACCATTGCAAAAAGCAAACTTCGAAAGCGCATACGAACTCATAGTACATTATCAAAACATCACGCCATGTCATTGTCGAAGAGGTATTTCTCGTCGGGTGGCACGTGCGATGCGAATAGTGACTACAATTAATGTACGTCTAGTGTTTTATGTGCGTATTCCAATGAAAATTTTGTTTGAACATAAAAAACAATTGACTACCCATTTTTTTTGTTTTTACTTTATACATAGAAAGTATTACTTATGGCAAGTTATTTTGGCTGCGGGACGAAAAGAAATAGATGTCACGGTGTATATCAAAGGTAAACTATAAACACAGCCTCACAGAAAACCGACGTGAAGCAACGCTTGCGTTGTGTTTCTTCGTGTGAGTGAGGTTACCGGAGGCTCAATTACCCCCACCCCCCTTTCCCCAATCTTCCGCTCCTGATCTCCACAGTAAGCTGATTCGATTGTATGCCCCAAATAACTACATACGCGCCCGGAGGCACCGTCTAGTATCCGTGCCTGCAAGTCGTACCGTGGCCCGGGCATCGTCCCCCATTCCTCGCATCCTGTCCGCGCTCAATAGCCTCGTGGAAGCCTACCCTGACTGTGACCTATTCATGGACGAGTTTAAAGCTATTAAAAAGGTTTGTCTCAGTTTTTGTGAAAGTCTCTGAAGTCTGTGTTGAAGTGTATAATTAAATGTTTTGTTTTCATTTTACTGTGATATAGGACATTTAATTTTAATGTCATCTACTATTGTAATTGTCTGATTTTTCTTTGTTTTTTAATTGAATTTTAATTGTTTTTTTATGTGATTTTTATTTATGCGTTTCATTTTTTTTCTCTTCTTTTCTGTTATTGTAACTGTTTGATTCTCTTTGATTTCTCTTTGTGTAAAGCCGTGTTAGCACCACAATAATAAATAAATAAATAAATAAATTCCCAATCGCCAAATCCCCCAAAATTCTCAAACTCCTAATCCCCAAAAGGCCGGTAATGCACTTGTAACGCCTGTAGTGTTCCAGGTGTCCATGGGCGATGCCGATTGCTTACCATCAGGTGATCCGTCTGCTCGTTTACTGGCTTATGCCATAAAAACAAAATTAAAATCAACAATCTTAGTTCAAGGTATACTGCGACATTAAAATTGAAAAATAGCATTATAAATAAAGAAAAAAGAATCTTACTTATATTATAATATTATATTACTTTCCTATTTTAATTATATATAAGTATAAAGCTGAAGACTTTCCTTGTTTGTTTGTTTGTTTTAACCCAATTATCTCCGGAACTACTAGTTCGAAAATCTCAGTAGTAGCACGGAGTCTGGAATTGTGCCCGGTATATGGCAATAGGGTCACCCCTTATAACATGGGACTCATAACATAAATATTGAAAAGTGGGTGTTACATTGTACAGTGGCATAATGTTTTCTGCCTACCCCTTCGGGGATAAAAGGCGTGATGTTATATTACGTTATATATAAAAAAAGGAACCCGTTCCCCGTTGTCACGCCAAAACTTGAAAATGGCTGGACCGATTTGGCTGATTTTTTTTTTGTTGTGTTTGTTATTGTCAGGAGAAGTAAATCTTATGGGAACGGGAGAAAACGGGATTGCGCGTACGAAGTCGCGGGCAGAAGCTAGTAAAATATAAAGTAAAATAAACACACGTAAAGTACAATTATTATGACAAGGTCGCGCTCCTAACTAAACAAGATTACAGCAATTACCACGTAGTATCGTAAACACAGATTTCACGTCTAGGTATAATGAAATAAAAAGATTAATTAATTTCTTATAATTAGTGTCATTATCACTTGACTATGAATCTAGGTAAATTATACACTGTTCTCGTTGTCTTGGCGAACAGCCAGTGAGACTATTACTCAATTCAATTGCAAATAGATTGATGTCAAAGTCCTCTAGTGGCTTAGTTTTTTGTTTTTTTTTAAGGGGGGAAAATCATCAAAGTCAAAATCATTTATTTCAATTAGACCAGGAAGGTACTTTTGAACGTCAAAACAAAATATTTAAATATTAAATAATAAGAAAAAATTTCAGTCTGTAGGTCAGTCCTCTAGTGAAGCTATTTGCTCGTTCCAAGGTGTAGATTCCTATGGAGAAGAACGAGCAAGAAACTCCATATGTTACTCTTTTTCAATCATGTTCACAATACAATTTTTGGAATGTCTTCTCCCGCCAGAGCGATGCGCGAGGGAGTGTCAGACTCTAA